TGGCACTACTATGATCTCACAGTCGTCTTCCCCGTCGTCGTCATTTCCATCGACGACGTCGCCATCGTCCACTCAGGTTCGTTTGCCAAACACCGTGCTGCTGAAGGTGAACTCTGGCACCGGCACTGGTGCTCAGACCACTCAGGTGACCAGCGGGATGCAAGCGGGACAGATGCAGAGGAGATCTATCGACAGTGGGTTGCGTTGGCAGAAAGGCAGAGGCGGCTATCAGGGAGCGCAGACATCTATCTCGCGTGTCCCAAATCGTTCCGGTGGGCCAAATATGTTGCAGCAGAGGATTCGCATGATGACACCGTCCGTGAGTATATCGCCGGTGGTGCCTAAAAAGGAACCGATGGACCGTGCGGACTACTATTCCGATTCTGAATTGTCCGACATGGAAGCCGAAGAAGCGTTGCGCGAGAAGCAGATGCACGCAACGCGAAAGATACCTGGCGCCGCCAAATACCAGAGACCGCCTAAAGGCAAGGACGTGGTAACAATATCTAGCTCGAGCGAGAGTTCCGACGATGACTGCATAGTTTTGAGCGATCCCAGCGGTGAGGAGGAAACTGACAACGATGACGATCCATCCAATTCGGGGATGCACACCAACGATCGTTATAACATTCCAGACGAACACGGCCGGGTATTGATCAACGTGGGTCATCCCGAAACCGAGCCAGATGTGTACCTAGCTCCACAGGTTGCCCGTATCATCAAGCCACATCAGATCGGCGGCATACGCTTCCTTTTCGACAACATTATCGAGACGATCGAGAGGTACAAGACCAGCAGTGGCTTCGGTTGTATCCTCGCCCATAGTATGGGCTTAGGCAAGACCCTCCAAGTTGCCAGCTTCTGCGACATTTTTTTTCGATGCACCACTGCCAGGACTGTCCTCTGCATCATGCCCATAAACACGCTTCAAAACTGGCTGGCGGAGTTCAACATGTGGTTGCCGTATGAAGATCCCGCCACTACCGCCGAGAAACAGTCCAAGGCGACGAACGTTAAAATGGAGCCGGGAACGGATATAAAGCATGAAGTGAAGGAGGAAAGTTGTGGCAATCAGAGCGACATGTCTAATATGTCGCGGCCTATCAGTACAGAGTCCGCGCACCGCTTTAGTCAGGACGCAACAACAGCTGTCGGTGCGTCGCAACAACCGGTGAACGTTATGCCAGAGAATTCCTACGCGAATCCCTATCACGGTTACGAACAGCGCAACATGATGCCGAATTACATGCAGGATCCTACTATGATGAATAAGAATATGGTCGAGCCTCATGTACCGCATATGCCACCGAATTATCATCAGGGAGAGATGCCGCAGAATTCGATGTACAATGCGAATCCGAACCCGCTTTCCAACTTCTCTGACTCGATGAAGCCAGATCCAGTAAACTGCCATGGTATGCCGCCCGGGCAGAACATCACGGGACCAAAATTCGGTATGGAGAATCAGGCCACCGGTGTTATGTATCCTGGCATGGAGAATCGGCCACAGGGTGTTCCCATGTATCCCGATACGGAGAATCGAAACGTCGCGACGATGTATCCAGGCATGGGTAATCACCATCTCGGTCCAATGTATTCCAATTACAACAGCATTCCCGGCACTTTCGCGAACTACGGCAGTCAGACGAATCAACAAGAACTAGAACGAGAACCGAAGAAGGAAAACATGTTACCGGGAGGAATGCCGCTTCCAAACCCAGAGGTGAATGTGAAGAAAGAACCGGAGGAGACGATCAAAAAAGAAGAGGGTACATCGACAACGAAGGAGGAATTAGTGGACGAGAAAAAGGAAATGATAGAGAAGGTGAAAACGCCGTACGATGTAGACACGCCAATCGGCATGGAAGTACGCCCGAGGCATTTCGGTTTGCACATTCTGAATGATTCGCATAAAACCATGACCGCGAGAGCGAAAGTGATCCAAGAGTGGCAATCGACCGGCGGTGTTTTGCTAATAGGATACGAATTGTTCAGACAGTTGTCTTTGAAGAAGCCCAATAAAGCAAAGCGGAAACGCGGGCAACCCTACAAAGACACGGTAGATGTAGAAGAGGAGGATAAGAATAAAGGTCTGCTGGACGAAATGCATACGGCTTTGGTGAATCCCGGACCGGACCTGGTAATCTGCGACGAAGGACATCGAATCAAGAACTCACACGCGAGCATCAGCATGGCGTTGAAACAGATGCGCACGAAACGTAGAATCGTATTGACCGGTTATCCATTGCAGAACAATCTGCTGGAGTACTGGTGCATGGTGGACTTCGTGAGGCCCAATTATCTCGGTACCAAGAGCGAATTCTGCAATATGTTCGAGAGACCGATACAGAACGGCCAGTGTATTGACTCCACGCAGCAGGATGTACGATTGATGCGATATCGCGCGCATGTGTTGCATTCGTTGCTGGAGGGTTTCGTGCAGAGAAGATCTCATTCGGTGTTACAAATGTCATTGCCGCGCAAAGAGGAATACATCCTCCTCGTTAGGATGACGCCTCATCAACGCAAATTATACGATACATTTATGAATCAGGTGGTGAAAACGCGCGCGGTGCCGAATCCGTTGAAAGCTTTTGCTGTGTGCTGTAAGATCTGGAATCATCCGGACATCCTGTATCATTTCCTCCGTAAGCGTCAAGCGAACGAGGAAGACGACTTAGATCTGGAGGAAACAATAGGAGAAAAATCTACGGCGGGTGGCAAGAAATCCAAAGCGCGCCAGCCGAAAGGAGAATCTAAGAAAACTTCGAAGAAGGGCACGACGATAAAGAACAAACCCGCGGCTAGTGTACAACCGAACGCTTCTTCATCGTCATCCACGAACGATAACCCGGAGACTGAAAATACGAACAACCCTCCGAAACAAAATAATTTCACTAATTATAATACGATGCCAGTTTCCAATTCGGGATATTCCAATTCCACAGGGATGCCGCAGGGATCTTATCCTCCTCATGGTTATCAAAACTATCGTCCGAACGATCAAAACACGTACTATAGGAATGATAATAACAATCACGGAGAATATAATCACGGAGAGTTCTATAATAATCAAGGACAACAAAGGTATGGCAATCAACAGTTCCAGTCATATACTCAGACGTCGACAAATTACAATACGTCGCAGGGATACGCCAATCAGTCGCAGAACTATATGCAGTCGAACGAGCAGTCCGCAAATCATCCTCAGAGGTACGGCGGTGCGGCGGCTGGATCCGACTTCAGATCGGATCAGAATCAAGGAAACAATTATGAGGCACCCGGGATGTTTCCACGACAGAACTATCCCTATCAAGATCAGCAACGCAATTACACGCCGAATCTAAACCAAGGGCCTAACAATTATCCCCAGGTCCCCAATCAACCTTCCTTCCAGTCTCAGATGCCGAATCAGTCTGCGAATATGCCGATGCAGGATTATTCATACACCGCGAATCAAAATCAAAATTACACGCCAGCGCCGGCTCAGGCAAATCCAATGTATCCGCGTAACGACGGGCAACCGCTGCAAAACTCAACGATGGGATATTCGGCATCTCAGCAAGGTCAGCCACCCACGGCTCAAACACAGACTACTGGCTACATGGCGCCGCAACAAAACCAGAACACGCCTCCTGGTCAAAATCGTGACTTCTCGTCGAATCAGCAGAATCAGAATCTAGGTTTGCAGAATCAATCTCATCAATATGCGAGCCAGCAACAGCAACCACAGGGTGCGCCTCTTCAGGGCCAAACACATGGCTATCATACGCAGGTGAATCCGACTCCTCCGCAAACTCCACATGCGTTTAATCAGCAATCGGCTCCGATGCCACAAACTCCATCTCACGGTTACATGCAGCCGAACCAATCGAATCAGGGGCCCATCTCACAGGGTCCGATGCGCGGCTACACTCCGGCACCGCAGAGTCAAATGGGTGTAGCGCAAAATCAGCCCAATTACCAGACTAATCAACCCGCGCAAAACGTTAACGCACAGAATCAGACGCATAGGTATCCTCCGGATCAAGCAGGTCAGACGTCGAATCCGCAGAACGCGGTCCACGGTTATAGTCACCATATAGTTCCCCAATCCGCAGCTTCCAATCAAGCGGGACCATATTCTCAACAGAATCAGCCAGGCCCGGCGGTACCGTCGTCGAACCAGGCTCATCCTGGTTATTCGTCAAATCATCCAGGTACAGCCACGATGCCGCAGAATTCCGCACATCGATACGGAGCCGCGCAGCAAACACAGGTAGCCCAGAATCAACCTATGGCATATCCACCGAATCAGCAACAGCCTAATCAATCTCTGGGTCAGAATGATCAGCTCTATCCTAGGCCGGACACCGCGGTGTCGCAGCAAACGCAGAGTTATGCTCCCGCCGCAAACGAATTTTCAAACGATCGTTCGGGCGCAGGCACCACCGGTAATCCTAGTAACAATTACAGCGCCAATCAACCGCAGACGCAGAACCCCGTTATGCCGAATTATCCGTCGGACGGCTCGCATCAGAACCCGGCGGTCGGGCAGATAAAAGAAGAGCCTTATTATATGCAGCGCAATTATCCGCAGACGTTCCGACCGGATCAGCAATGCAACGATTCGTACTACAGAGATCAGATGAATCCCGGCATGAATCGTTATCCGAACAATTATTTCCCGCCGCAAAATTATCCAAATCAGTCGTACGATTACGCGTCCGGTCATGGCACGGACATGAATCAGCGGCCCGACGACTCCAAGACTTCGCAGCAGCCCATCGGTGCTCACCCTCCCAGTGCGCCATGTGACAAGAGCAGCAAAGATATGACGTCCAGCATCGGTGTACAGAGTCAACCATTGCATCAGAATAATCTCACCGGCGTACCAAGCTACACCGTGGAACCGAATCGCCAGAGTTCGGCAACTCCCGCGCCCAGATCGGTACCGGGAGTTAATCCGGTGCACAGTCCTCGATTGAATCAGAACGAACTATCGAAGGAGGATGAGAGAGAAAAGGAAGATCAAGCAGAGAAGGATAAAGAGGACAAATCCGACGACGAGACTCTCACGAAAGATGAGGAAAAAGATAGCAAGAGCTCTCCTAGCGTGAAGGAAGATCCTGGAATTCCATATGATTGGGTATGTTAATATATTACTACATATCTATTCGCTATTTTAATACGAAAGAATGGAAAAAATTTGATTATTTTATAAAACAATAAAATATAAATTTTAATTTTTGTAATATTTTTATTAATTAATTAAATAATTTTGTAATACTTAATTCTGTTACAGGCAACAGAGTTGATGAAAGGATATAAACCCGGATTGATAGACGCGTCCGGAAAAATGACGCTCTTCTTTTGCATTCTCGATGAAGCTATTAAACTGGGAGATCGCGTACTCGCATTCTCGCAGTCGCTGTTCACATTGAATCTCATAGAAGACTTCTTAGCGCGAAATAGCTTAAAGCATCCGGATGGCCAGACCGACGCGTGGATTAAGAATGTGAATTATTACAGACTTGATGGAAGCACGAGCGCGTTAGAGCGAGAGAAACTGATCAACGAATTCAATAACAATCCGAAGATTCATCTCTTCCTCGTTTCTACGCGAGCCGGTTCGTTGGGTATCAATCTTGTCGGTGCGAATCGCGCGATTGTATTTGATGCTTCCTGGAATCCTTGTCACGATACGCAAGCTGTATGCAGAGTCTACAGATACGGTCAACAAAAACCGTGTTTTGTATATCGATTGGTCACCGATAACTGTCTGGAAAGGAAAATCTACGATCGACAGATCAGTAAACAGGGCATGGCGGACCGCGTGGTCGATCAGTGCAATCCCGATGCACATCTTTCGCTAAAGGAGGCGACGACGTTATCATGGGATTGGGAAGAGGACAGCCAAGTGCAGGATTTCTCGCAGACCAAAGACAGCTACACGGACGAAGTTATGCAGTGTGTGTTAGAACGCTATTCCTCGTTGCTTACCAAAGAACCGTTTCATCACGAGAGTCTGCTCGTTGATCGGAAGGAGAAGAAGCTCACTCAAGCGGAAAAAAAATTGGCTCGTCGCGGCTACGAACTTGAGAAGATGGCAGCTAATTGTTCTAGGCCCAGCTATAATTATGTTCCTGGAAATACAGCCACGCGAGGTATAGTTTATATTCAAGATAGAGACCTTATTAAAAGTCTAAAGATAATCATGCTGTGTATATGCACATTGATTATTTATTCCAGCAGGTGGATTACAAATCAGAGCAATTCGCGGTGGCGATGGTGGTGCTACGCCGAAACCTGTTGCGTCTGTCAGACCTATGCAGCAACGAGGTGCTGATGGATTAAATCCGCGAGGCGTTACTGGCAGTAGGTGGATTCCGGCGGAAGTATGGCAGAGACAAGGAATGAGTGCGCAAGAAATGACGCTACCTCTAGATGTAGTTATACCGACGAATTCTCCGGATAAAGGTAGTATTGTTCTGAAAGCCGGTCAACGTGTAATGGTGCTGAAGAGTCCAAAAGGCATTTACATGCAGCTTGAATCCGGCAAAATTATAGCAATTCGTACTGCGCTTAAGTTGAATCAACAAAAGCGAGAAGAGGAACCGAAGAAAGGTGAATTTAATTCACCTAATATATTACTAATAATTACTTTTGAGTTCTTTTCAATAATTCAAGAGTAATTAGTAATTAGTAATATATTAGTAATACATTATTTGAAAATATTTTATTATTAAAAATTTAATATTTTTATCGCAGGATCCTCGATGATACAGAGGAATTCTAAGCCCGAAGTTGGTTTCCCCTTACGGAATAACTCGGCTATTTCTATCATACCAAAGTCATCCTCAAGTAACCAGACTGGCGGCCGGCCTCTCAATAAACCATCACCGAGCCCGGGTTACAAACCATTTGGTGATAAGGAAATTTCCAAGAGACCCAAACCAGTCGCTACAGCGACAGCTAAACCTTATTTGAGCCAAGTAAACTTGACCAATCAAGTTTCTCTGTCGAGACTACCCAAAGTCAAGCAAGAGCCAATGGATCATTCCACACTTGGTGACAACTCTAACTCGTCGGATGGCCAATTGAGAACCGAGCAACGCGTCGAGGAAGTCAGATTGGAAGATGTGGTGGCAGAAGTGAGCTCGAACACCGAGTATAGTCCCTCTAATCACACCCGCACCACTAATTCGGATACGGATACATCTCTGCCGAAATCCTCCGAGGAAGGCACTCAGGTTTACACGCCTGAGACAGTCTCCCTTGCGCAAGGCGTTCAAACACAACATGACCACTCTGAACCAGAGATGCCGCCAACAGCTGACAAACAGTGTTCGCCGTCGGAGAAGGAGCCTCCTAAGCCGGACACACTAACAAACTACGGTCGGTCCTTTCACAGTCAAACAGAGAAACGAGGAATTTCCAATGATGATATCATTATTGAGGAAGCGTCTCAAGCGGCGTCACAAATGACACCGCAGGTAACACAACAGGTAACACCACAGGTCGCAACGCAGACGCACGCGATTGCTCCTAGTCCGATGCCTTCTCTGTTGACGCCACAACCAGTACCATCAGTTATGCCGATACCATCAACCATGTCAATACCACCAAGCTTATCGATACCGTCAAGTATGCCTCCGAACATACCACCAAGCATGTCAGTACCATCAAACATGCCGCTGAACATACCATCGAACATACCAGTATCGTCGAGCATACTGCCGAACATGTCGATATCGTCGAGTATGCCGTCGAGTATGCCATCAAGTATGCCAGTAACATCAAGCATATCGTCGAGCATGCCGATACCATCGAGTATGCCTATACCGTCGAGTATGCCGATATCGTCGAGCATACCGGTATCATCGGGTGTATCGGTACCGTCCGGATCTGCAAGAGGCTCGGAAGCACCTAAAAGTATCGCCGATTCGAACACCAACGCGACATCGACCGCTTCCGTGTGCACTAGCACCAATATTACTTCTCCAAAGAGCACCGAGCCGACTTCGAGTATGCGAGACAACATGATCCAGGGTGATCCGACGCCGAGCGTACCCCAGGGATATCCCTACGCTCAATATCCGAGATACTACGACTACAGCGATCCACGATCTCGCTCGCTGTCTAATCCCTATGGGACTTACTTCCCCGGCGTTCCACCTCATACGGCAAATCCCAGCAGTAGACTGCCAGTAGACACGACGAAGCCTCAGCCGGACCTAGGCAAGCCTATGGACGAGAGGAACGTGATGAACGTGCCTACCCCTTACTCTTCTCAAATACCGAGCATTACTGCCAAAACGTTAACGAGCAACTCTGCGACGGAGTCTAAGGGTACGGACAGCACGACGACGGTGACTACTACAGTGGCCTCAGCAAGTAGGGACGAAACGCATATACCTACCGCATTTAGTCATCCCACTAGCACGCGGTATCCAGGACCGTACCCGCCGGCCCCGTACGACCCGTATTCGCAGCATTATCCACCGGCGCCTGGCTCTTCCGCAGCTTATCCTCCAGGTGGTGAGTCTTAAGTCTCATTGTAAAGTAAAACGAGAAGTAAGGTTTTGTCATCTGCTTATATTTCAAGCTTAATTTTGCCAATATCTTTTTTTAGTTCTCTTAAGAAGTTTTCTATGTTTAGAAAATGTGTTAACGTTTTTTTGAAAGTTTTATTCAGTTATGTTCATTGACGAGAACATTAACGGTGAAATTAATCTGCAGGAGCACCCGGTTATCCAGCATACGGTGGACCCAGCTACAACACAGATTATGCCCGCATGTACTCGGCGTTCCATGGTCCGCCTCCTCCGACGGATCCTTACATGCACAGAGGATATGCACCTCCTTCTTCGCATCCCCCTAATTACTACTCGCCGTTCCCGCATCCTCCGCCGCCCTATCCCAATTATTCGTTCCTGCCGTATCCGAATCCGAATATGTCCAGCGAGCCTCAACCACCCGCTCAGTAGGGAAGCATCGCGGCTAAGGATAATTCTGGGTTAGTGACCACGAAAAGCAAGAAAACCGTCGCAAAGACTCAAAAAGCCGCGGTTACGAAGCTTAATAGACTGAAGCTGTAAAACGCATCGATGTAAATATTTAGTCAGAAATATTGAGATATTAAGAGAATATTTGATGGCAGGTATGCGAATACTTCGCAATACCGACATGTAAATCGTGAAGGACGAGTGCGATCGCCGTCAACATTGAACCGTGCAATCTGTTGAAATGTTCAGAATATTTTAACTCTCTTGACTTTGTCAACGCCGTTCTTGCGATGCGTTTTTGTTCACTAGTTAATTACAAGAAAATGTACTCGTCAAGCGGTATAAATTACTCTTTTGTTTAATCTTCCAGTTTCATAAAAGCGGCGTCAAGCGAGATTTTTTACGAGTGCTTAGATTATGCAATTTAGATTGCAATACGTTTCATACATAATTGCGTTCCTCGTGACTTTTTCTACTTTTTGTACTTGCGCGCTCTTTGTCAGATTAACCTTCTACCAATAACTTCTTGACGTCGGAACTGATGATTTATTGACGCGTATGACTCTGGGAAGATTGAAGGAGGAGTAAATTGTATGTACCATCCGAATGATCGAAGGGAAAGGAGGAGCGCTGTATACTATCGTTTAGCTTCACGCGTTACATTCAATCACTTAGCTCATTTTTGTATATCTTGTATATCATTTTTGTAATTGTAACGAAGAGGGGGATGGTCACTACAACGGAACAAAATTCTCGTATCAAGAATGATTAACAATCGTCCATGACGCGTTCCCAATTCATGAAACCCAAGAATTGGAAGTAACAGCATGGCCAAAAGCAGACTTGCACATGAGATTTTAAGTTTATATCTTTTTCAAGACTCGATTATGATATTAATCAATAACGATGTTCTACGGGTAATAACTTAGAATTTATACGTAAGATTTTATTCTCGTTTAGTTGTTAAATTTTCTTTTTTTTTTACCACGATGCATATCGTTATCTAAAATTCTCTTGATTTTGAAAGAGAAATGATGTATAAAAAACTTCCATGACAAATTTTTCGCGTTTTTATATTTGATCGACTGATCCCCCTTCATAATAGTACGGCAAGAGTAATGAATATGCAAGCTGTCTAGACATTGAAACTATACTATAAAATGCAGATGAAACTCTTCCGCGCATGAATCTACTGTTCAGTGAGATGCTTTCTTCTATTTCATCATATAACTTTATACATCAAAGCAGTACATGTAATTGTTACGCGATTCTTGTTGATTCGATGCTTCTACCCTGAAATTGTTTCTCTAAAGATCTAATATTATAATATAAAGCTCCGTTTTTGAACCGTGCTTTTTATTCCAGCAATAGGTCTAACAGTTTTAATTTCAGTACGAAATTTCGTCTTGCGATACTTCGAGTGGAATGATAATTCTAGATGACAATCTAAGATCAGGGATTTTAGAAAGCGATATCAATTAAGTGATAGGTGTTCGAGGTCCCGGTTTAGATGATAATTATATTATTTAAATATTAATTATTTAGATAATTTTACTCGAAAGGACAATTTCAGGGTGAGAGCAATGGATCATGCAGAGTTAAGTTTGGTTTGCATTATGCATCACTCTTCCGTAATTTTAAATTTACTCTTTTTTTTTTACAGTGCATATCATATTGTCTGTACTCTTTTTCTCAATGAGCACTGAAATCAGTTGCTGCTCTCCGCGGCACCCGTCTACTGAAATATATAATTGAAACGCGCGCTGCTATAGAAATTCACGGTAGGCGAACGATATGAGAGAGAAGTCCCAAGTTCCTCTCTTCTCCTTGTCTATATAGCCCACAGTGTAGTCAAGAGTGGGGAGGATTATATGGGGAGTAAGGATGAAGTATTGGCTGATTAAGAAGACCAGACAAGGACAGAGTGCTACTTGAGACATCTTGGCATGCTCTCTCTCTCTCTCTCATATCGCACAGGCAGACCTAGCGCGCCTTCCAGTTAGTACATATTTCAGTGCACTCGTCACGCCGCGTCTACATGTCTCTCTCAAAGCATTTTTCACATACATACATACATTTTAAACGCGTACACACATACGTACATACAGTATTCATGGAACATTTAGCAGCCAGTAAATTACAGTCTACAGCATCCCTAGCGAGTTGTATATGGACTACGTATTATACTATTAAACGTTACGGTTTCCGAAATAGATAATCTTACAGTAGAGCGTAGGATTGTTGTTAACTAGAAATGTCTTGCGACTTATAAGAAAGAGGGAGAGGAAAAAGGGCGCGAGGAACTCGCCCGTCTCTCGGACGCGTAACGTAATTAAGCGTTAAGGGGAGAGCCATGATTTTCAGGAGCGACTCTTCAGACTCGGAACTGTGATATTTTATTATTAATCTCGTGTCGAATTCGCGCTGCACGCTCCTTGCCCGGAATCGAAGTCGCCGACCTTGGTTTCGGCGGGAATTTCGCGGGCGGGCCCCCCCGGCGGTTCCCTCCCGCGACGCTCGGTCGAAATTGTTGCATTTACGTTAGCGTAAGTCAATCGGGTGCACGAGATGGCTAATCCGTTTTTCCAAGTGGGACGCAGAGGCGCGCACGGGTCTATCATGGTGCTCCCTGTATACATTATTATAGACCAGTGGTATTCAACCCCCTTTCGACCCCGGTGTTTCAATATCCCGAAAGCATCCCCCTTCGAGTCTTTCGTCCCCTTTAAAGATATATATTTGAAAGATATACATATTTGAAATTTTTTCCCTTTTCCCCTGCTACAGAATTTTGTACATTCTTCCGAAGACACGCCCTCGAGGGATCGTTTATGGAACTTTTTTTGTTTTCTATGACGTTTTGCATTCTCGTTTAGTACTGCGGCTTTCACCAGTTCCTCTTGCACGGTTTTGTAAGGACGAGGGGGACAAATCCCCGTATAAATTCTCTCGGAACCTTATGGATATGATACAAAAGTATTTGTCCCTTCTTTCTTTTTTTTATACACGCATCTTCGTACTTACCAAAGTTCTCTCTTTAGCAAATCGCGCCCGCGGATCCTCCTAGAACGCGAAAGTCTTGGCGCCGCCCTGCAGGGGGGCACTCCAGGTTGAATACCTCTGATTATAGGACGAATTATTCTAGCGAGATAAGCGTTCATGCTGGATATATGATTAGTAATACTATGTCTCCCGTGGCGGGTCTCGGTGTTGTCTGTTTGCCGCGCGATGAGACGCGACGTCCCCCTACATCCCCCTCTTCCCCCCACACTCTCCCTCGTTTACTTGGACGTGTCGCGGCCGCACGTTTCGTAGGTTTTAAGTGTACAGGTGTTACATTTTAAGCGCGACGTGTAAAGTAAGCTGTGCAATCCCATGCGAACAGGCGACAGGGAGACCGTCGCGTTAATAAAAATAAAAAAAAAAGAAAAGAAAGAAACGCGAGAGAGCCGCGAGCCCCGTATTCCGTTGTTCTGAAAGCGGTCGCGGGGTTCCAAATATCCGGGATTCGCGGGATTGTCGCCGTCATCGCCACGACCCATCCTCCCTCTCCCCGGCGGGCGTCCGGATGCGGCTTTGTCGAGTTCTGTTTTCGTGTAACATAAAAATCATCCTCGACGTCGCCGTCAGACCGGAAGTCACGCGGCCGCGGTGTGAAGACGACGGCCCTTCGCGAGTCCCGTTCGCGTAAACGAAAATCGCATTCGATGTTGTTTAAAGGGTTGAATGGGGGTGCGAGCTCGGTTCGCGAAATCGGCGGCTCGGTTTACTCTCGCAAACGTTTAACGATATGACGCGGTGACGATCTTAATCGATCTTTAGCTTATCGTTACGTATAATTTGTATAATTCATTATATAATTCGTTATATGATTTATTATATATAATTTTATTATTATATATAATTATATATAGTTATACATAATTATATATAGTAAAATAAACGCGAGGAAAGCGATATACGGGCATTTCACTTTCGAGAATCGAACTTGCGCCACTCTCAGAACAAGCGGCTCATATATCTGCAGAAGGAAAGCAATTATTTCATCTCTGTTATAGCTTTTTTTTTGCCATTACATACTCTTGTACATACCCATTATTTACATTTCATACTTTATTTATTATTATACATTAGCCATTATTATCGCTTTTTTTCGATGTCAGAGTATTATCCTTGTGTAAAATAAATTGTTTACACTGATGAGAATATTGTTTTGCTCATACTACATTGTTGCGCAGAGCGGAAGAGAGATAGAGAGCGAGAGAGGAATGAGATCTTATGTATATTTGTTTTTTTTTACAACATTCAACTTCACATTTCAAAATGGGAATAAGCTCGCGCTGGCCCGCGTTTTCGCCGCGTGTTTAACGCAAAAAGCGGCCGATCTGATTTCAAGAACAGGCTATTTTTGTCGGGCAAATCTCTTGAGAAGCTTACAGACACAAAATCGTCCAGCAGACAATAAACGAATCTCACTATCGTTTTTACAAGAAGTCTCATTGTCAGAAACCGTATAGGACTTTGGAAATTAAAGTGTCGAAGTATCGAAGGCTCGGGTTTTCGTGGCGCGCCATGCTTCGGGATATCTGAAGGAAAATGCAAGAAGTTTTCACGGCGATCGGCGATTCAACAAATCTACGATCTAATTGTGCGGTGACGCGAAAATCTGGAAGGAGCGTCTCAGACGGCCGCTTTCAGCGTGCGGCGAAAGCATATGCGCCGCGATGCACGTGTAAAATGCTTATTGTTAGTATCGTATAGGAATGATTTGTGCGGAGTCGACATTGTGTCTTTCAGTCGACGAAATTCTGCGTCGACGTGACAAGATTTTTTTCTCGCGACGCATCACGCTCTTCGTCTGTGTACGTTTCAGGATGACTAAATGAATGTTACACGCAGGCTGGGTTTATTAAAAAGTTATAATAAATTTGCCAGCGGAGGATTAGCAACGCTCTCGTGTCGCCGTTTCCTTTTCTTCGTTTTGCTCTTTTAACGGAGCTTCGCGTTCCCATTGTAATTTTTTCTATAAACCACGTTATACCGTATATGAGACAAGATGAGATAATTAATTAATGAAATAAAAGTATTCGGATATTAAACGGGCCTGTTTCCTGCGGATGACTTGAGATTCGTAACGCCGCTGTATGAAATCGTATACATTTTTATTTTGTTCCGTTTTGAGAAGCACTACTCTCTTGTGGGATATAATCTTCTTTAAATAAGTAGTTGAATTTAGAAATGATTTATATGTGATACTTACAGAGAATTACAATGATTTTCATTGCAATATTATGTTTAACTGGTCGACAGCAAGATTTACTATTGTAGTAAATGCAAATAAATGTATATTAGATATTTTTCATAAAGTAAGTCCAAGAGTAAGTTTTATTTTTTAATATTAAAATGCACATAAAATAGAGTGAAATAGCATGTAATTATTATTTCTAATTTCATTCTTATTTGAAAACGTGTAGCTCTTTGTTTAAACAAAAGAATTATACATATATATTATATGCTCTGTAGGGCACTACAGAACACCAGTAATTAGCTAAATAAATTTCTTTTATCTAATTGCTTCTTTCGAAAAGATAATGAACCAGAGGTTGAGATCAGGTGCAGAAAAGGCTTGTTACGTTATTGTTGATATTAATCATAAAATGTACAGTAGGTGGCGTTTGCAACAATTACTTTGTATCATATTCATCAGCGAGACGAAAAGAGATAAATAATTAAATCAAACAAAATGCACAGATAGTGAATAAAATATGTAATTAATAAAAGCAACGCCGATTGCCATAAAGTTCACTTTCCTGTTTAAAAAACCATTTACTTCCCACATTTAAAGAGAAATTGTCCACCGATATAAATATCTGAGATAATTAGCTTATGCAGTATTAAAATTCATGATTATTGTATAGATGTTTCATAAATAAGCATATTTACGATGCAATAATGTCACATAATTATTTATTTTAATATATTTACAACCTCATGCATGAATGATCAACCACAGATGATTACGAGTACAGATAATTAAAAGTACAGTTTTAAGTAAAATTAATATTATATTACGAGCTAACCGTCTAAATTTTAATAGTCACGCGAATAAGATCATCAGTCTTTAATAACATCTCGTCGATGATAGCATTTTATTGAAGCTGTACCAATTTCAATTTCCCGCGCGAAAGCGGCTGTTTAGGAGCGTACGAATTCGGGCGCGGTGCCTCGGATAACCTAAAAAAGTCGCGATGCGGGACCGCATGGCTCGCGTAGTGAACGCGTGAAGGTACATCGCGCAATCACTTTCGTGGCGAATGCGGCTCCTCAGGCGCGGTTTGCATCATATCGCGCGTAGGGTTGCGGCGCACCGCGTGTCCAGCGACGTTCCGCTCGCGAGGCCACCTGTCAGAGGCGTCGCGGCTACCGTCAGTCTTCTCGATTTCAGCCGGTGGGGCACCAGGAAGGCGAACAGGAACCTGAAGATCGCCCTCGTGCTCGACATGACGGATCCTAAGGTCGAGGAAGCCCTGGCGCCGCTCCGGGCGAGCGTCAAGGAACAAGTGAGTGCCATATGGACGCAGAGTAGGGACTACGTGCCTTGGCAGGGCTTCCTAGCATTGTCGATATCAATTCTTAGCAATTCTTAGCAACACTTTGGTCGGAGATGATTCTTTGAACATTAACAAATTTCATGTGATAGATAATAAGTATCAATATCGACATAAATGTACAGATCAGTTACTCAATTCCTTTGAGAATTGCAGGGACATATTCTGGAACAAAGGAATCTGTTGTTTACTTAATTATTAATGATTAGTAAGGCCAAATGTGTTACATATTTTTGTATGTAGCAAATCTTCTATGTACAATTATTAATACCAATTATTAATACATATTCTTGAAGAATTTGTGTTGCATGACAGAATACTTTTTTACCACCATAGTATATTGAACTATTATATTTTAGTATCATTTTTCTTATATAATATAACATGATTATTTTTTCGTGAGATGTAACTACGTGTTCTTTGTAGGGTGATTATGTGCGGAAGCTGAAATCTGATGGCGCTCCAGAATTGGACATCAAGAGAGCTGTGGCGGAACTGAAGCTGCGCAAAAAGATACTCGAAGACAAAGAGCTGGCTCTAGCTTCCAACAATATAACGTTCGACAGGGCAAGGATGGAAGATCTCTTGAAGCGTAGATTCTTCTTAGATCAGTCTTTCGCGATTTACGGTGGTATTACCGGTCAGTATGACTTCGGACCCATGGGTTGTTCGTTGAAGACCAATCTGATAAACGCCTGGAGAAATTTCTTCGTACTGGAGGAACAGATGCTGGAAGTCGATTGCTCCATTTTGACGCCCGAGCCGGTTCTGAAGGCATCCGGCCACGTGGAACGGTTCGCCGATCTGATGGTGAAGGACGTGAAGACCGGCGAATGCTTCCGGCTGGATCACTTGATCAAAGCGCACTTGGAGAAGATAATCTGCGACAAGAAAACGAGCGAGAAGACGCGCGAGGAATGCAGAGATATCATCATCAAGCTGGACGGTATGACGAAGGACGAGATGGCCGCAGTGTTGTCAAAATATAATATGAAATCGCCGGTTTCCGGCAACGACTTGACGGAACCGATAGAATTCAACTTGATGTTCGGCACTCAAATCGGACCAACGGGACTCGTCAAGGGCTTCTTGAGACCAGAAACGGCGCAAGGTATCTTCGTGAATTTCAAGCGATTGCTGGCGTTTAATCAAGAACGATTGCCGTTTGCCGCGGCGCAGATCGGCAACGCTTTCAGGAACGAGATCTCGCCGCGATCCGGACTCATACGCGTGCGAGAGTTCACCATGGCGGAGATCGAGCACTTCTGCGACCCGAATAACAAGAGTCATCCTAAATTCGAGACAGTCAAAGACATAAATATGCTATTGTACTCGGCTTGCAATCAGATGGACGGCAAGAGCGCGCAACGCCTCACCATAGGCGAGGCCGTTTCGTCCGGTTTGGTGGCGAACGAGACGCTGGGTTATTTCATGGCGAGAATCCATCAGTTCCTACTAAAAGTCGGCGTCGACCCGAACCGCCTGCGTTTCCGTCAGCACATGGGTAACGAAATGGCGCATTACGCCTGCGACTGTTGGGACGCCGAGTGTCTGACATCCTACGGATGGATTGAGTGCGTGGGATGCGCCGATCGGTCCGCCTATGACTTGACGCAGCATACCAAGGCCACTGGCGTGAAATTAGTGGCTGAGAAGAAACTACCCGCTCCGAAAACGGTGGACGTGTGCGAGATCATGCCAAACAAGGTGTTGATCGGTAAAACGTTCAAGAAGGATAGCAAGGTTGTGCAAGATGCACTCGCAGCATTAGGCGAGAAGGAGATTGTGTCCTTAGAGAAACTTCTCAGCGAGAATGGAGAATACGAGCTGACACTGCCCAACGACGCCGTCGTGAAGATCACCAGAGACATGATAGAGGTAAAGCGTTACCAGAAGACCGTTCACGTGGAAGAGATTATACCATCGGTGATCGAGCCTTCCTTCGGCATCGGTCGCATCATGTATGCCCTGTTCGAACATAATTTCAAGGCGAGAGAAGGTGACGAGAAGAGAACGTATTTCGCCCTACCGCCAGTAGTAGCGCCGTTGAAATGTTCGGTGTTACCGCTCAGTGGTAATGACGAATTTGTGCCGTTTGTAAGGAAATTGTGTAAGTAAAACATAATTTATATAATACATATATAGATATGAGTCTAATTGTTATATTGTTCTGAAGTTTTAATATTAGACAACATGTTCTTCCTCCTTCGATCTGTAATCTTCATAGTTAAAAACATGGATAAATATATCTAGATCTGAAACTTTTGGTAGTTAAAAGTATAGATAAAAGTAGTTAAAAGCATATAGATAAATATATCATAGATCTGAAACTTTTGGTATGTAGCAAAGCTAAGTATATTAATGTTTTACAGCGCAAGATCTTACGAGAGCGGATGTCTCGCATAAAGTGGACGATTCTTCCGGTAGCATAGGACGCAGATATGCTCGTACTGACGAAATAGCGATACCGTTCGGTATCACCATCGATTTCGACACTTTAAAGACACCGCACAGTGCAACACTTAGAGACAGAGACAGCATGGGACAAGTCCGGATAAACGTATGTATATTTTTTCAATATATCTGTACAAAAATTTACATGAAACTTGTATTATATATGTATAAATTTTAATTAGACAAATTTAATAAAACTATTGATAGACATAAAGAAAATAAGAGATTTTTCATTTTTTCATTGCTCGAACATAATTCAATTTTTAATTATAGTTGGACGAGTTGCCTGGCGTTGTGAGGGATCTTTCCTATGGAAGGACAACTTGGGAAGAAGTGGAGACGAAGTATCCCAAGTTTGAACAACAAGAATCAACAGAACCATAGGAAACTTATAATTAGATAGGTTCGGGAATAATTTATTTGTACTATATAGAACTGTATTTTGAATGGCGTATATACAAAGTTTTTATATATTGAGCATATCGAGGTGCCTATCAGAAAATATACCGTTAATTTTTCATAGATTCCAATCAAGTATTCATTAGTCAGGAGATTCGATATTATTAAATTCTCTACAAATTCTGGAAATTTACATAATATGTATTTATGTACTTATTCGAAAAGCAACGTAACAACGTAAACTTTGAGAATCCGCAAGTGATATTTTGCATTGTTAACAATTGATAGAATCTGTTCATCTTCACCTTTTCGATTTATTGGCGTTACCAGTTACTCGCATTTTTTGAAAGCATTTACTTATTTAAAAGTTTTTATAAACGCTGTGTAAAAAATATAGATCTGTTCTTTTATGATTTCATCTCATTTCAATATCCTATAATTCTCATTAAATTAATAACATTCATTAATGAGGAAGAAGATAAAGGACAAAGTTAAATATAATATTAACAAAATGCATTTTATATTATATTTCATTAATATTCTTAATTATTGTGTCTAGAATTGAGTAATTTATGTTAAATTATGATTTCCATTTTCTCAAATATGTTTTATATGTGTATAACATTTTATATACGAATTAAACACAATTTAGAGTAAGAACAAAAGAATCGAGGGGTATTGAATAGCCGTACTTTAGAATACAAAATAGATATACATAACTTATACAAAAAATATTGAAACAGAAAACAATAATTAGTTCACGTAGTAAAGCAAATTAATATTCTTTTTTCTAAATATAATTATTAATTATTAATTACTGGACATCGGGTTTTTTATATGCAGATTGGTGAAAAAGATCAAAATTAATAACTAAGATTTTGTTATTTATAATATTCAACATATTTATACCTAACATATGTTGCATTAGAAATATGATTGATATAAATAACATGATCTTAGTTATTATAATTGCTCTTGTCCACCAGTCTGCATATAAAAAATCCGATGTCTATTAATTACATTTGAAAAAAGAGGTACTTTGCTTTACTACGTGAACTTTGCCAAATATATATTGGTTGGCCTGCGCCGCCTGCGCGAGAACCAATCAGCGCGTTCGAGTCACATTCGAATGTATCGCACGACGCACAGTAATGTTGGTAAGTACGGACTACGGTATGATGGACGGGGATGAGACGGGGCGGACGCGCGCGAGAAATTGTCCGTGAAATATCAACGCGGAAATTCGGGTTACGTGTATAAACGAGTACTTCGACATTGAAATCACGACGTGCAGCGTATTGCGAGTAAAAGTACGTAAGTATTTTTCGGCCAGCTTCGACAATA